CTGCTGCAATTATGCCACCGCCTTCCAGGGACACAAACGCTACAGTGGCCTCCCAACAAACAGTCTTCCTGACAGCCTCCAACAAGCAATAAATCTGGTGCACAGACCTAATGTAATCCTTGTCGATTAGGGCCGCCTGAGAATAAGAGAGGAGTTGTTTAATGGAATCAATTTTGCTGGAGGACCTCTGAGCTCCCAAAATGGAGCGTAATTCGTCAGAGGGAAGCGAATCAAGGAGAAGCTTGGCTCGGGAGGAGCTGGTATCAGCTAAATTGTAAAGAGCCAGAGCCAGAGATGACAGAGCGGTAGACATGGCTTCGGCACTGCCAGCTCTGAAAGCTGCACAGCTCAACTGGACACGTGTCCTATAGTGCAGAAGTCGGCATACTTCCCTAAAATTGCCATAGACAGCAGGTATCCTGGAGATGGCCGGGGTAGCAGAAGTAGGGTTTTTGCTGTTGACGACCAATTTGGAACCATTGAAAAAGACCTTGAAGTCGGAGGCGACAGCGACGTCATCCTTAGCGAAGGAGCCATCCCCAGAGTCAGTAAGATTGAAACAGGAAAGGTCGGCCCTGAGGGCCTCACAGGAGAGGGCAGCGACAGCATCAGCAACGGGGCCAAGAGCAGAAGAGCCGTGGTCCAAAAGAGCGGAGATGCCATCGAGAGCGGCAAGGGAGTAGTAGTCAACATCGTTTTGCTGGGGGACGCCACCATCTTGAAACTTGTAGGAGCGTGGGCCAGACTCATCTAGGTTGAGGAAGACATCATAAAGCTGGGTGATAGCGAAGGCGGAGGAGGAGGAGAGGCAAAGGAGGTTATTCAAAAGGACGAGGACGGAGGCTCGGGTCTCTTCAATCGTTAAATCATCGGGAATGGAAAACGAGACCTCGGGTCCGGCGGACGACGATAGCTTGGAGATGGCGGAGGAGTCCAAAGCTAGTCGAGCGAGGCCGTTGGCCAACTCGAAAACGGAGGACGACGAGAGCCATTCCCCACCTAAGCGCACAACGCGAGACAAGAAGGACTCTGCCGCCATGTTTCCGGAAATCTCTCCCAGCAGGTTGCCGCCGGGAGGATCGGTAGGAAGAGGACTCGGGGTTTTTAAATTCTAGGGTTGCGGCGAATGAAATTACAGGGTGTGTTTGGTTCTATGGACTGGGGTTTGGAGGTCGGGTAACCCAGCATACGGCCAATTAGTTTGGTATCGGAGACGGGTAACCGGGTACAAAATGTTTGAAATGTTTTTTTTTTTCGGAAAATTTGTCAAATTGGTCCCTAACATTTACCAAAAACACTTTTTTAGTCCTTAACATATAAAATCAACCAAAATGATCCTTCACATTTAAATTATGAGCCAATTTGGTCATATTGCTCATTTTTGCTCATTTCTCCTGCTAAAAATAGCACGCCCCCCTCATGTGGTCATATGTTTAGGGGCAAAATCGGAAAACACATTTCATTACCGGTCGAAAGAAGCCATCTTTTCTTCATCTAATCACCTCACTAACCCATGAAATTGAAGAGGGAAAATACAGTAGCAAGAAATTGGGAAGAAGAAGCTGACGTTTGACGAGTAAAATTGATCCAAACGAGTGATGTCTTTGTGGAAAGGAACCCATCATTGTGACTTTTTGGAAACCTGCAATCAGATACTTACAAAATAGTTGTAATACTTGGGGAGGGGGGGAGGGTGAGGCATCTGATTTTTTGTTGGTTGGGGGAAGGGGAAGAAGAGATAGAGAGAGGTAGTTACTTTTGGCGCTGGAGGGATTTGAGGATGGAAGCTTTGGAAGACTCGATCTCCCATCCATGTATCCGAAGTCCAACCCGCTCGTCCGGCAGCAACTCCGCTCCGGTTTCTTTCAATTCTTTCTGGTCTGCCTCCCACTCCATGCCCCCTACCTCACAAAACAAGCACCGTCACGATTTATGTCCAATCCTGTTCCAGATTCTGCAACCCCCCTTCTGCTGGGCTGGCGACTAGAGCTGGTTTTCTACATCCACAGGGATGCTTTCCGAACGGCGATGGATTCCAACTACCGCTTTTTGTGAAAGGTCTGAATCGTCATTGCATCTTGTTTGTGTCTGTGTGTGTGTGTGTGTGTGTACATGCCCTCTTAATTTTCTTCACAATTTTCTGGCCAAACCTTCAATCTTTTCTCAATCACACCCTACAGGTTTGTCGTCGTCATCATCGGCAATACATTTCCAAGTTATGCTTGTTAATTTGGGGATGCAATTAGGGTTTCTTCAAACTGTAATTTGAGGGCCAAAGGTGAAATGTGTATTTTGGTGGTGGTCCCCTATCCTTTTACCTTCAACCGGTAATGAAATGTGTTTTCCGATTTTGCCCCTAAAAATATGACCACGTGAGGGGGGCGTGCTATTTTTAGCCGGAGAAATGAGCAAAAACGAGCAATAGGACCAAATTGGCTCATAATTTAAATATGAAGGATCATTTTGGCTGATTTTATATGTTAAGGACTAAAAAAGTGTTTTTGGTAAATGTTAGGGACCAATTTGGCAAATTTCCCTTTTTTTTCACCCCCTAAGTTTTATGTGAGATTTTTTTTTAAATATACTGCCAATTAGGGGAAATGTTTTTTTTCCTCCCCTAAGTATCAGGCTATCAGCACTGTTAATTAAGGATAGCTAAGGGTGTGCATTCGATGCAAAAGCGGTAATTCGGTGCAATGAATTCGATTATTCGATCTATAGAAATCTAAACCGTTTTTAATTTCGAATTGGCCATAACCGAATTCATTCCACAACCAATTTCAAATTCGAAAACGATAATTATTAAAAAAAAATTGATTTTTTAAAAATTATTACTGATTTGATCCCCAAATTTATTCATAATTTAACACATTACTTATGTTCTAATCATTTTGTGGTTTAATTTAATTGGCATTTATTTGATCACTTATACTTAGAATCCTTAGTCTATGATTCAAGAAACACATAAAAAGTGATTAATTTAAGCTAGAATAAACCTTAGACTGTACAATAATTAGTGATAATTTATGAATTTATAATTTACAATGATTAATAATAAGTAATATTAGTTGCAAACTTACAAATTACAATGATTAGTGATAAGTTATATTAGTTACAAACTTATAATTTATTTCAAATCAAAATAAAACTTATTTGCTTACATATGTTATTGTGAGAGTCAATACACTAATACATTGATTTGCAATTCACATGCATTCACTTACACTGCTTAGTTGTCTTATTTATACTTAAAGCCTTAAGATTAGTGAATAGATAATCTGAATTTTTATGTTAAATATGTAATATAAATTTAGAGCACACTAATACTTGCAAGTTACAGATTACGCATTCAAATATTCAATAATTCAAACATGTATGATCAATGATGTATCAAATTACCAATATCTAAATTCTAATTACTAATTATGTTTATTGTTTAATATTTAGTATTATACATATATGTATTAATTATTATCCAATTCTAGTCATGTTACTCATGTATAAAATAATAAGTAGTTAACTTATATTGTTATGTATTACTATATATTTGTATTATTATAGTCATATAACAATTAACAAATACTAAAATAATATATTGTACATTATTATATATTATTATTATTATAAGTACATGATATGATGATAATACCATATACTTATTATTATTAATAGCATTTACCTATCTAATATAATAATATATTAGTAGCATATACTAATACTAAATAGCATTTATCTATATATTATATAATTTTATATACCAATTTGGTATTCGAATGCGGTAATGCGGTACCCTATTTCAATTACCGAATTTGAATGCGAAATTGGTTATTACCAAATTCATAATTTCATTACCTATTTTATACCATATTAGAATTCGGTGAATTCGGTATGTACTAAATTTGTACCAAATTACCAAATACCCGATTTCAAATTACTGAATTGAATTTGAATTCGGTTATGAATTTGGTATGAACCGAATTTGCTCACCTCTAGGGATAGCAACATGACGGGTTTGGAGTAGAGGATCTCTCCCGATCCCCTGCCCCGTTGCTAAAAATCTCTCTCCACCCTTGTTCTTGTCATTGCCCTCGTCGTCCCGTCCTGTCCCCCACCTCTATTCTCGCCTCGCCCCATCACGCTTTATTTGCGGGTGATAATTTGATTTTTTTTAATAGAAGTCTTTATTTAATAGATCAAAGCTAAATTTAAAAATAAAATAAAATATAGGGCTGGAAAAAGTGAAAAAAGAAAAATAAAACCAGAAAAGTGTTAAAATAAAACGTCAAGAAAATTAAAAAACTCATTTGGATTGTATAGATATATGAAATAAAGGTTATGTTTGTTTGTCAAATATTCTAAATTTATTATTATTAGATTATATAATATAATATATTTATTTATATTAAATATTGAAGTGGGAGACGGAGCGAGGGTATCGTCTCCCGCCCCCAGCCCCCCGCCTCATTTAAAACGGGAGGAGAAAAATTTCCCCAGTCCCTGCCCTACCCTATCCCCTGTCCCATTACTCCCCCATCCACGAACAACAGTCTCCATTGTCATCCCTACTGCCAGTTTTAGATGAATAAATGATAATTATGTAAAATTTGAATTTAAACTATAATTTTATAAACATGTCACGAATCTAACGATGATAGTGTATATATTATTAAAAAAACCTTATAGCCGTTTTAAGAATTATTTTACTCTATGAACAAAGAGTACCGTATGGTTAATTTAGACCCGCAAGAAAGTCAGTTTGATATATGTTTTATCAAAAAAATTTAAAAAAATCAACTTCTAAAGTACTCCTATCTTCGTTTAAAAAAAAAAAATTACTGGGTCTGAAAAAATCTCGGAGATTAACATGGCCAGTACTGCATACGCGAAATAAGGGAATTTCCAACGAAACATGTAAACGTGAAAAAAAAAAAATTATTTCCAATGAATCCTTTATAAACTTTTTTTTAAAAATTTTTTTTTTTTTTTGAATGCCCAACTGACAAGTATAGAATTTGAATTGAATTATTCATTCATCTGTCGATGTACAGGGACCGTCCGCTGATCCAATTGACTTGGTGTGGAATGAAATTTATGGAGGGAGGGTCCCCGTACCTTCTTCTTGTGCCATAAATAATAGTAGTAGGTAGAATTTGCTATGGCTTTTGCACAACTTGGGAATGAGCTTCTCAATACAAAAAAAGAAGAAGAAGAAGAAGAAGAAGAAGAAGGTGTACAAGCAAGCGGGCGGGTGACTGACAGGGACTCGTGTAAAAATTTTTAAGATTGCTCAACTGCTAAGGATGCAAATCCTAGAACACCACGGACGACCTCATATGCTGCTTTGCTTAGTTTTTACCTTTGTCACGTCATTCGCAGAAAACAAGGAAGCTCTACAACAAGCACAATTGTCCCTACTGCAGCAGAAACCATAGACATCTTTTGTTGCCATCATTTGATGTTTTCAGAGAAACCAGTCTCAGATTTCAGTGATTCACAATCATCCATCCAACCAGATGCACCAACCAAGATCCTCCCCCCCGCTTTGCTTTAATACTCGGTCACTGAACTAAACGAACTAACGCTTCTACCACTTCAGACATGGGTGGCCGAAATTCTGGCTCCGACTGATTTCACGTTTCACAAATCACAGGTTCAAATTATTGCAACATGAACTATAATAATATGTAGAATACCAGAAACAATCCACGTTACCCACAAATTCACAAAATTACGCACAATGAGATTTCTTGCAGCCCTAAAAATACTCACCTGCACGCACAGAGCAATTACATCTGCGAAACGAGAAAGACATCTGGGCGGATACAGCCCACGCAGGGCAGGATCAGCCATTTTCTCCAGGGCATCAATATCATGAAGCTGAGGTGGGGCCCACCGGACAAGAAACTGTTCCATTCTTGGCTTTGAACTTATTTTTGAAAAAAAAAAAAAAGCAACAAACTTGTGAGGATGAAGACAATTAAGCGGTATCCCTGATTGCCTTCAAATACGATAATAATTACCTGTCAAAAGCCATTCGACCTGTCAATAATTCCAACATAATCACCCCAAAGCTGTAGATATCACTCTTTGATGTATAAGCTGAAGGTTTTGTGCACTCAGGCGCTTTATATCCAATCCCATGATTTTTGTTCATCCGCTGATTTTTTCCCTCCAATTAAAAGAGTCAAATCAGAAAAAGAAGAAACCCCAGCAAATAAATTGTGATCTGGGATCCAAAATGATTGCAGCAGCACAAATTTTGGCATAACCAAAGTTCCCAAGAAAGAGTAGAGTGAAACATCAGGTAACGCAACAATGACAATCTACTTAAACTCCGTACAGTAGAGACCTTGTTCTTGTACCAGATTGAAAGGAATAAATCTACATGCAATAAGCATACAGAAAAGAATATCAGAATAAGCATTTTGATTTACCCTTTTTGGGGGCAGTCAACCAAGTAATCCCTCGCAGGTTCAGATCATTTTCTTGCCTGATATATGTGGATGTTTTCAAGCTAGGATGAAACTTTACATTGTTAACATTAGTTTCAATGGAATATCCCACATTTAATCTATTCCAGTATCTTCTGTAACTTGAGAGAATTTACTTGGACTCTATCAACCTTGGTGTGGTGTATACTAGAGCTTTGGCTGTAAATGAAGAGTACATATATACAACACATGACAAAAGGTTTGATTACAATGCACCAACCGTGAGAAGAACTTACAATGTAACAACTTGGTATGGAGTATACTAGAGCTTTGGCTCTAAATGAAAAGTGCACATATGCGACAAAGGACACAAGAATGACCTATGCCTATGATATCTTGTTTACGTCTACCACATCTTTTAAGAAACAAGTGAAAATACTTTTAGAAAAAGTAAACTTAAAAGAGATGGCTGCATAAAATCGGTGGATGCTAAGAATTATAACTTAAGCATATTCAGTGCGGAATGTAAAGGATGCCTTGTATACTTGTGCGCAAATTTACATGCACTCCTTGGGCTGTAGGCAAATTATTCCTAAAGACTTCAGACATATCATTTTGCCTATAAAGTCCACTTTTGAGCTCCTCAACTGGATAACTGCCCCAGTGCTGTTCCTTCCTTGATATTTACGCTCTTTACTTAACCATCCTCTGATGGATAGCTAATGTAGGCAAAAAATCAGTCATCACAATTTATTTTTCCAACTTTCATTTTTAGAAGTGCTTGACAAAGCCATAAGCAGCTTCATATTGTTTCTGGTCCCAGTTTTGATTCTATAGTCTCATGCCTAGGAGTTTATTGACAGTTGTTTGGCATCTAGTATGATTCCAGCATAAGTTCGATATTTTTAACCACTTCAACCAATTGGTTTTTCGACAGTTTTAAAGTAATGCTAATAAATCACGGGGTTCATCCATTCAGCAATACACAACTGTTTTGAAACCAAATTTTCGCCAATAACAATTCTCAAGGGCTTCAAGGAATTCATACAAGGTCTTCAAGACCAAAAAAATGTTTTGAAGAACCACAATATTTTGTCTTCTTCCATGTCACCACCAGCTAACATGCAAGCATCTCCACTAGATAGTTATGAGATGTCATGCATTACATCCTCAAATGAGGAAAAAAATATTTTAATGCCAATGCCATGAGGGTAGGGTCGTCTAATTTCTCTGCATGCAGTTGGAATATATGGCATCATAGAAACTCCTGATGGCATGGTGGTGATGGTTATTTTGTTGAACTCTAATGGTGCTTTCACTGGCAAAATTAGCCAAAAACCAACTGGACTCGATACATCTCTTTTCGCTTCTATTTATTCATTTCAGGTAGAATGATAACAGGGAATCCAGAACAGTTGTGACCATTGCAAACATACAGAAGCTTTATTTTTGTTGTTCTGAACATACTCTAATCAATTGTAAACTCCTATGCCAAAAATATCAGCAGCATACCCATATGTAATTATCACTCACCAAAGAAAAAAAGTTACATTGCTAGATAAAGTTAGCTTTCCAACCAAAAATTAAGAACAACGGATAGAGAGAAAACCAACTATTTTAAGCTTTATCTATCATATATTGTCATCCAAAGAGCATAAAAAATAAAACAATTAAAAAATTCAAACACATAGCCACTATAAACCTTAGCCTGAGCTAAAAGAAACAAATTACAAAAACTTATGGGAAGTGTATCATAAGAAAATTTTATAGAAAAATGTACCTCATAGAAAACTGTCAAGCCACAGTCAGAGAGACGGGGATTTAGTTCAGCATCAAGCAAAATATTAGAAGACTTTATGTTCTTGTGAACATAAGATGGAGAGCAAACCTCATGCAAGTACCTGAACAAAATGGAATATCAAGATATAAGTTGACTAAATATGTCAGTGTCCAATCCTTGTAACAAGAATATTCATGTTCTCCTCTTCTTTTTTTTCCCTTGACCCATTAATAGAGTCCCTAGGAAAAGGGAAGATAAAATGAAGTACATATCAACAAAACCCCAGCCTTGGCTGGCTTTGAGGATTTGGGGCCGAGGGAAAACAAGTCATTGAATTCCGAAAATACAGTCAAAATTGATCTACATATCTAAATCCCGATATATTTTCACAAATCCCAACAATTTCTGATGATTTGTAGACAGAAAAGTTGCAATTTGGGCAGGTAATCACAAAATAGTGGAGTGAATCCAATTCAAGCTTTGCTATCCATTTGATGCTGTAAATGGGAAAAATAAGACTACCATCCCTTCCGATTTGAATGTTACATTTGGATATAGATGTGTCATGTATTTGGATATGAATCACAGCATCCCGGATTGATACTTAAATCTGCTCAATTCACCCAAATCAATGAAAATGGCAAGACAAATCACACTGAAAGATTGATAAACTTACTCGAGAGCACGAGCTGTTCCTAGAGAAATTTTGACTCTGGTATTCCACGTAAGTGGTTTGCTAAAGTCATCTGACAGGTGCAGGAACTCATGAAGTGAACCATTTCTAAAATACTCATAGATTATCATGTTCTGTCCCTGTTCTGAACAATAACCAACGAGTTCTGAAATATTTGGGTGGCGTAGTTCAGAGATATGTGTGATTACTTCCCTAAATTTTCCCCCATGTCCACCTTGTAGAAGTGAGGAATCTATTTTCTTCACAGCCAAAACCTGAACCAGCATCAGTAAAGATCAAATCATTAACGTCTTCCACAATCTGCCAAAGGTCAAATAGATTCTGATAACTGTACAACTAAAAGAAAGTGCTAAACACAAACACACACACTGATTGCAAGGACAATTGAAGTAGCTACAATAGCATTTACAAACTCCCCACTTTCAAAGGTAAAAAAAGGAGCAGAATAGCAACATATAATCTAAAATATTACAGTTCATCAACACAGTCAAGTATGCTGGGTGTAGATAGAGTTCTACAAAAGAACTAAGTTAGCTATAATAGTTTTACCAATTCTGCTCATCCCATGTGACAAGGACTTAAATAGAGAATACTGTAAGTCAGCTCTCAGATTCTTATACATCTTGACAAGGAAGCAATATAATAAAATGAAGGAAGAAAGTAGGGTTAAAAAAATTAAGAAATTCAATGGCAACCTGACCATAGAACTGTAAACAGCCTAATGCATAACTTCAGGCACAAATAAGATACACATATATAACTTCTAAAACAACTATAAACAACCTTGCAAAATAGAACCTCGATAAGAGTCTTTATCTCTAACTAAAGATAAAGACAAACAACCACAAAATTTAAAGCATGAATTAGTTTTCCCATTTCCATTAACTGTTACACCAACATGCTGTAGAGCTACATTCAGCTACTTGTTACATTCTCTTATCTATCCTAATCCTAATTCCTCTATCCTATTGCGGATTTTATTCCAGGCATACAATTCAGTAAGAACACTCTATTTGGATTGAGTATTTCATTGACCAGGACATCTCAAGTGATTGAGAGAAACAATACATACTAATTTCTTACACCATCTAAAAATAGTTTAACCAATTATGTGACCTAGGAGACTGAAATGAAAACAGCACATAAATGTGCATTAATTCTAATAACCAATGAAAATTTTTTAAGCCAGGCAGATGAAAATATTGCAGAGAAGATACTAATTTCAACACAAAATAGTAGAATTTATGCATACCTTCCCATCAGCATGCTTTGCCCTATAGACTCGACCAATTGATCCCTCTCCAAGAAGGCGACCTGTTGCAAAGTTACCTGTGGCATTTTGCAACTCTGAAAGAGAATAGCAAGTGACATGAATTGAACTGCTCCTTTCTAGACGATCTGTAATTTCATTATGATTGGTATATCTAGCACAATCAGAAGGTGGGAGATTAAGATCTCCTGAAAGAGAGGCTTCCAATGCTTTTCCTGACTTAAAACCTGGAGAAGGAGATGCTTGCAGAGTTTTCCCCGTCTCAAGACTCATTGAAGCAGATGTCTGTAAACATTTTACTTTCACTGAAGAAGACGAACCAAATGACTTCCGTTCTGCCAACAGCAAACAAATTATAAGCAGCTGCACAGTTTAAACTGAAGTGAGGGACAACTTAAAGGAGGGGCAACTGTAAATGACTGGACCAATTATCAAAAAGAAAAAAAAATGGTGCACTAATATGTAGAATGAGGCACTAAATAGAATGTACATGCAAAACCATGAAGTTTTTTCAGTCCAATTTCCAGTTAGGAGTTTTCAGTATGAACAAATGAACAAAGGAAAATGCATATCCTGTTTGCATTGTGATAAACTTACATCAATAATGCATTGTGTAATGTTAGGGGTATCTTGCTAAAAACAATGTAAAACATTAATTACACAAGTTCTTTTTCCTGTATTTGTTTGACTCATCAGAAACATCAGGTACTTAAGACTTAACTGCTCAAATGAAGTATCTCTACCAGATATCTATGGGTAACAACATAAAACCAAGTCAAGAAAAGTCAATATGACCCTATCACAAAGGTTTTCACAAAGGCAAAGAACATAAACACCAAGAAAGGGACAAAGAACCTTAACATCAAATTATGCCAAATGGTACACTGAAGATTAATATCTTTCCCATAAATCATGCGTGTGTCACACATTAGATCTCTGAACTACCTGCATCAGATTTGAACTTTGGAACTCTTGCATGTGCCTTACAATTAGTTACAGATGTAGTGATTCCAAGAAATTCTGGATGAAAATGTTACCTGAAGTTTACCAAAATCATTTCACTTTCCCAGAAAGTAGGGCATAACATCAATCAAACAGTGGAATGCCCTGAACTTCTAATGGGAATCAATTTTAGGTAATGCTCCATAACCATGGCATCAGCATTATCACCGATGGTAATTCTTGCACCATCAGATTTCTGATATCTTATCATTGATCAGGAGAATGCTGTTAATTTTTGTTCTCCATTACTATTTTAATTCCACTTTTAAATCCGGGGAAGGAGAGTAGTTTGCGAAGAGCAAGAGGTGGGGGGGAGAGAGAGAGTGAGAGTGACCTCTGAAGTCGTTCTGCACATCATTAGGCAAATCATTGGACAGCTCATGAATTGCAAGAGGAGAAAATGGACTATGCTTGCGGCTGAGCCTATCTTCTTCAAGAAAATGCGATGAAGAAGATTTTCGTGAGAATAAAGTGATTATGACACCAAACACTACCAAAATACCCAGAACTATTCCTGCAATGGCTGTTCCACTAAGACCAGACTTTTTGATATCTTCTTTTGACTGCCTGGCATGAGGATCACTTTTCTGACCAGGGGGTGGGGGAGGAGCAGGCCCTGAAGACCAAGAGTTTCCTCCAGTCCTTGAACAGAGTTTCAAAAGTCAATAAAGAAATTGATACAACTTCACCATGCAATGTAAGCTCAATACTCACTCTATATCTTTGATGCTTTTCAATTCATCAGGAATCCAACCTGTAAACTGATTATTTGCCACATTCCTGCGATGCATATAGCCAACATATTCTTTTAGGTTAATCATACAAGCAAATTATGCATGGAAAAAAAGATTTTTTGATGCAGAGTATTGGTTAGTTGAGCTATGTAGCATATCCAGCAGGAGTACAGTATTCAAAATTCCCACGTCTAAGATAAATGTCAAACTAAATAGTGATCTATAACCAGAGAAATAAACTATAGATAGATAGATAAATATTTTTAAAAAATTTTCAATCATTTGAAACTCAACATAAGTGCAGAAACAGTTCTTTACATAATGGTTATTGTCGTTAACAAGGGAATTAAAGCAGCAAAGCCTGTCATATAGCCATAAACCAAATTATGAAAAATGAATTAGATGTGTGTGTGTGTGTGGGTGTGTGCATGTGTGTATTTAATCCAATACAGCAACAAACAAACTCCAAGTGAATACAGCTCAACAAGAAGCCTGGCTTACAAATCATCAAGTGGAAGATTGGCAAGGACATTTATTGAACCGGTAAACTGGTTATTCTGCAAATGCCTGCATGAAGACATGTAACCACCTTCAGCACCACAAAAATCGCAGTCGTAAAAGTTAGTGAATCAGGTCACTTACAATGTGCTGAGGCTTGAGAGGGATTTAAAGCTCGGGGGTAATGTGCCAGTAAATGAATTGAAAGACAAATCCCTAGACATAAGAGCAAGGATACATTCACAAACACAGCTTTACAGGTGGAAAATACTGGATGATACACAACAAGAAACACTTGAATTTTAATGCACGTGCACACACACGCACAGAGCAACTGAGCTGAAAAGCTGAAAGTAAGATGCATTCATGACATTATAAATAACACAAAATGAATCTAAAATATCCCATTTCATTAGTTGCCAACAAGATCGAGGTACCAATTTTTTGGATATTTATACAAATGCTACGGTATTAAAAAAAAAGGAAGGTCCCAATAAGAATGAATGTAATGCTGTTTGGCTTGATCATGTATACTCCTCATGATGACTTTCTAGTGAAATTAAAAGCAATATGATACTTAAGTATAATCTAGGGAACGTATCACCCAATTTGCTACCACATATCAGATTTTCTGATAAAAATCTTACATGACAAGTTAAAAAACTTTTTAGTGTTTAACAAGTTGAAACGAATTTTGATGCATGGTAGAAGTTGCAAGGTTGAGAAATATAAGAAAACATAAAATGATATCAGTTTCAAAGACTATTTTACATTTTAATCTCTTTTTATGTTTATTTTTAGCAGTAGTTATAGGCTTGGAGTATCCACTTAGAAAATTTAGGTTGCAGTAAAAAATTAATCCAATCAAAAGTTCTTTCAGTGGATAGCATTAAAGTTTTTGGAACTCCGAAGTCTATAGAAGCATACATAATCTCTTTACTTCATTCAAGTTGAGTTATGCCTCCTGAATTTTGTGATCTCTATTAGACTTCACGACATTAAGCTTCTCTTCTCTATCAATTTTCTTCCCTTTCTTCTTTCTTCTTCTGCACTCTCATCCAGGATTATATTTCTTTTCATAAAAGGAAGCACATCACATGACAAAGATGAAGGTACAAATTTGCCTGCAAAATCTGTCTTTCAACCTATTGTTCGTGCTTCCTCTATAAAACAAACGGAGATACATCCTGCGATGCCAAAAACAAAACGTAAATGGCAAAAATCACCATACTTACAACTTAGAGAGTTTAGAAAGTTGTCCGAACATATCATTCAGCTGTCCATTGAGCTGATTGTTATTAAGATTCCTGCAAAACCCTTAAAATCAGGACACTACATAAAATCAAACAAAAAGCCAAAAGTTACATATCTCTCATTTTTACTACTTCCTTTGAGAGAGAGAGGGAGAGAGAGAGAGAGTGTGTGTGTGTGTGTGACAAACTCACAAATATTCAAGATTAATCATCTGCGAAATTGAATATGGCACACTGCCGCTGAATCCATTCCTTGAAAGATCTCTACACGGAAAGTTATTATAGTCATTCAGACAAATCACTTAAGTGATGAAAAACTGTCAAAAAAATTCTTTGTATTGATTTAATAAGCATAATCAATTTTTCACACATATAATTTGCATAGAGTAATTAAATTTGGATGTTAATTGCGAAAATCCCTTTCTCGACAATTAGTGTATCTATTGCACTATAGCTATTTCATTGCATAATCATGTCATGCAGACAAAAAATAAAAAGGAGTTGGAAAATCTCTCTTTAATCTTCTACCAATTATTTGCCCTAAAAGAAATCACAGTAATGAAGACAGCTTTAAATCAAATCAAAAGAATAGTCAAAACCAAAGATCCCTCAAATAGAAGATTCATGCATGGAAAAACTACATGATTTTCCAACTGTTCAAGCAAACCAACAGGGAGATATTCTTTTAAAAAAAAAAAATTTTCTTCAGCCTAGAAGACATAGATAAGTACAACCATGCCAAGAAACCATCAAAATGACAACTTGAATCGGTAGTGAATAAGAGAAAGTCACTTGTAAGATATAAATAGTTTCTTCTGGCTTACATATATTGTGCGTTAGGAGGTAGTTGATACGGTATATCACCCTTGAGATTGTTTTTGCTCAAATCACTGCATTAAAACAAAAATTTTCATCACCATCAGGCCAAATCAAAGTTTTTTTTTTTTTGTTGGGGGGGGGGGGGTGGATACATCAAAAAGCTGGTGAAGCCTCACAAGTAAGTGACGGATGTCAAACTTGAAAGCTGGTAGCCCATTGATCCAGTGAGTCCCAAATCAGAGAGATCACTGAGAAAATATTGAAAGAAGGTCAACTTACAAGAGATGACTTTGGTTTAGAAAATGGACCCAAATCCAAATACTTGGTCCTATAGCACAAATAAATTTCTCTTTTTGGGGGAAAACACGTATACATTTCAGTTACACTGGAGCCTGAACATTTGATTCCGTGCCAAGATTGACCACAAGGGTCACCTCCATTTGATTTCCAGCCATCCAGTTTGGACGGAGAATTCATGCTGGTGTACATGACATTGAGCGCAGAAACTGCTAAGATATAGAGATGTCAGAATGAGAGGTAAAAGAGGCAACAGGTGCAACAATATTGTAACATGCGGAACCACTTAAATGCTTTTGCTTTTAAATGATTCTTTGGTTGGCAAGTGGTGAAGCAATTCGTTAAAACATTGAACTAACCCAACTGTCATAACTTCATGGTTTTTAACAAGTGGAAGGAACGGGGTTTGGGGGAAACTATAATGTGCTGATGTCATCACCACTGGTGGTGCACCAGACCCTTCTGCTGCCTATTATGCTGTCAGAATTTGTCAATGAACAAATTGCCCTACAAATTACAGACAGACTGTTGTGCAAATGAAGTCAGTTCTCACTGTTCATTCTGGGAATGAATGGAGAAAAGAATGGACAAGATAATGTTCAATAAACATTTAAGGTTTAGAGAATCCTAAAATCGAAAATGTCGCAGGTTAATTCTTCTCTCCTATCATTGACGTTGAGTTGAAACCACAAATGACCAGACCGCAATCTTAGGCTAGCTAACAAGAATTTGTGGAGGAAGTGAGTTTTAACTTCTTTGGATGAGGCATAGAATATCAAAGTTTGCTGCCATTATTGAGCCCAACTTTAACCATTATATGTGGTTTCGAACTGAAAAGAGTAGGGCAGCCGGGAATGTTGTTGCTACATCAGCAGAAAATGGTAGAAGTATAAAGCAAAAAATTCAAATAGGCCAGCGACTGCGAGGATGCATGGCTACGGCGGTAAGTGAACTGTGAGAGTAGCATTTTTGTGGCGGTGTCATCCTGTTCCTAAGTTGGTCTGCAGAATAACATATGGTATAAATATAAATGATAATGGTGGTGGTGAGAGATACTAATTAATAATACCGTCGGGAGCATTGGTTTTGGAGAGCACGAAAGTAGTGAAGTTGAAGGAGGTCAGGAGAAGCAGCAGCCAATAGAAGTCCAGTGTTGCTTGTCTCGGCAAAAGCAGCGGCCCTCTTGTAGCTTTTCTAAGAAAGTAACAACCATAAGAAGGAGAATAACAAGGAGGAGAAGCGATATCAGCATCGCAGGCCATCATCGTCATCTCGGCCCGGGCGGGGGTTGAGGAAACAGCTGGCGACGGAGTTGTCAATAATACTCCAAAGGATGTTAAATTTGGCAATAAGCCTGCCTATTCATTCATCAAGCTGCAGGCCGAGAGGCATTTTTTGGTTTTTTTTTTTTTTGGCGGGGCGAGGATTCAATGTTAAGAGGAAGGAAGATTTGAAAGAGCAGGAAAATGAACAATGCTGATGTATATGTCGTGTATTACATTGCACTGAATAATTATGTCATGGCTGGAAAGCAAATGCTAAAGGTACGCCTGGGATTAAGCAGAAGAAGATGGTGACGCCAAATTATTATTAATGAAAGAACCGGAATTCTTTCACTTGGAATAAAAGGAAAGGAGAGGAGAGGGGTCTATTGCCGTAGGTGGCGGTGGCGGTGGAGGAGAAAGAGCGAAGGAAGCCTGGGCAAATGCCGCCTGATTCTGGAAATTAATGGAGGACGATACCGGAAAATGGTTTTTTCTTTTTTCTTTTTTTTGTTTTGTTGTTTGGTGTGGGGGGGGGGGGAAGGGAAGGGAAGAGAGAGAGATTGCCCCTTTGCGTATCCGCATACGTGTTTTCTTTCTATTAGGTCATAACATTCCGGTTGGTTCGGGATGCGATGTGAGGTTGGAGATTAAAGGAACGAAGGCCGAATTTTAGGAGGGGAAGAAGAAGAAGAGAAAATGAGTTCATATTTGCATTTGAAATATTCTACCACTACCTGATTGATTGTGGTCTGTTGACTAGACAGCAGCAGCAGCTTGCTTTGCATGCATTGCTCGCCTGGTCGGAGCCCCAAAAACGGGAGACATTCCCGATGATTCTGACACTGGAATCTCTGGATACGTCCATACTTCCCAGGCGACCAAAGCAGCCGCCCTTCCCCCAACCGACCGATACGTCCATACTTCCCGGGATATATTGGATAGGAGATTATGTATGTGCACAGATTGTGATTTTTTGTGACGTGATGTATGTGAGATAAAAAAGTAATTAGGAAGATAAAAAAATGTGTTGAAAATATAAACAAATCATTTTTAGTGGCTATCCAAACACACAGCTGCTGCTACATTGCCAAGCCATGCGTACGCATTCCATAATTTCCATTCATGAATCACCACATTTATTGACCAACTTAAACCCCTGCAAATGCATCCTAAATACAAATAATGTATTTTTGTCCGCGTCACAAATATATTTATAAATTATTTTTTTATTTGACATACATCATATTAAAAAAATAATGATTTTAAAAAAAATTATTTTAAATAATTTTCTATCAAAACATGCTTGCTTAGGGTCTATTTGTATCGATGGAAAATTTTTTCAAAAAAATGTTTTCCCTTTTTTCTGATGTTTGGTTGAAAAAGTGTCCAAAAATTTTTTTTTCTAAAAAAAAGGTTTTACTCTATCCAATGGAAACCAAACTTCTGCAAAAGGTTTCAGTGAATCTAAATCAACGGTATTGTTGGTTACATCATCTTATTCAATTGTTCATAGAATTTGCTATGAATGCTTTAAAAAGATTTTTTTTTTTTTTTTTTTTTACCGTTTTTTGACTCTCAAATTGATTGTGGTGTTTAACATGGATTGTCTTGTCTATAGTAGTAATAGAGAGATACTAACTGATGATTATACTGGAATGCTAATAATAGAATTTTTCAACAAAATGATTTTCAGCGAAAAGATTATTTTACAAGCAAACAGACGGACCCTCAAGTGGCGTGGCACTACTTTACCACTGGGACGTTGTTGCACCCAAGGTTTGTAAAATCGGGATTCCACGTAGGATCGATTTTAATTTCACAAAATCGGATCGTAGGATCGAATCGTAGGATCCCACCAAAAGCTCCTAAATTTACTAAATTAATAAAATTGAAATTCATATACCATTTTGTACATCCTAAAAGATATCAAATAAATAAGTTACTCATCAATATATAGCATTTTTTACTTACTATCTGACAAGTAATAAAAAGATGAAGAAGTTACAGCCGACAGCATTTCAAGAATGTTTTGATTGCCAATTGCCAATCACAAAAGATCAATAATATGTTTACAATTTCGAATTAATGAAAAATATGTACGTAGTTGAAGAATGAAATTTTTAGAAAAGTAATATTAATCAAAAAAGGTATATATATGAATATAAAAAAAGGTTATGCGTGTTAGAAGTGCATATACATAATAGGTGTGAATTGAATGTGTTAACGATCAAATATTGAACATTCATTACAAAAACTTAATATATATATATATAAAGCTCAAATATTAAATGGGCAGAAAAAGTTCTGGCATTAGATTTCATTTCATCATTTAATTCAAGTATTTAAAACTTCCTGTGGTTTCACTAATTAAAGTTGCCAAATACAAATTTCAATTATTGAGAAAAAAAAATAGGAGCACCATCCAACAGAATAGAATTCCTGGTATCATATAATTTCCTACAATGTAAACGAAAAAAGCTTGAGAAAAGGTAAAATTTGTACATTTCCATCCTAATTTCACACGCCATTAATTAGTCACTATTGCACTCATGTTTAAACGCTTACAAAGTAGTATGAGTATGAGAGAGGAAGATGATGATTTTGCTGCTCAGCTTTTCACCCAATGCAGAAGATGAACTTTTTCTGCAATAGCTGTCGGCTGTAGCTTGTGGGTTCCTGGTAGAAGCCGCAGCGATTTGTCTTGTGGGTTCTTGGTAAGAGCTGTAGCCGAAGCTTGAGGTGGTTTGATGGTTAAAATTAGGGATTTGATTTGGGCAGCGGAGAGGAGAAGAGAAACGTCAAAGCTCTGCTTGAGGGGAAGATGAAGAAGGCCCGAAGCTTTTTGACGGAATCTTTTGACTTTGAGGCAAACTTTGTTAAAACATTGCAACTAAGGCCTGCAATTGAGTGTGAACTTACAAGTCTACCCCAAATGTCGATTTTTACTTGCAAAATGAACCTTGTATTCCACAAATTAGCAAAAAATTGTAGGATCGAAGTAGGATCGTAGGATCGTACGATTCTACGCGATCCTACCTCGATCCTATATAGATTCAAGGAATTTGCGATTTTGAGTGCGATTCGGATCGATTTTGCCTTTCCAGATCGTAGGATCGTACGATCCTACGATCCGGATCGCGATTTTAACAACCATGGTTGCACCCCGCCCACCCGCGGCAACATTTTACCATGCAAAACCATACACACAGTAGTGAGCTCTCTCTCTAGCGCCTCTCAGTTGTCACCAATACAACCTCTCATCAAGGTGGAGCAACATTTATTTTTAATCAGCAGAAAATAGCACCAACCGAACTCAAAAATGAATACACTTGCGACGGTAAGATGTCATCTTTGGCTTAAGTTTTCTTCCGCAAATGAGATGAAAAGACGGCAAGTTCTCGGCAAATACAAAGACTGCAAATGCTCCCTGCACTTCTTTTGTTGCGTTTAACTCAGGTAGACGGCAAAATTTCAAACACTCCTAGAGCAATAAAACATATCGACATGGTTGGCCAAATGTAGATCATCCACACATATGTTTCAAATTTTAAATAATCACACTTCACTTCTAGAGCCAACAGGTCAATGTTCATCAACTCCCATTTTGCTAGGAAATGCACAGCTAACCTTGCTAATGCATCTGTTGCGTTATGCTGCTTGTATTCCATCCACTACATTCTTGGGGATCCGCAGATATTTGGACTCTTTCACCCAGCTTCAGCCTTCACAGTAGGGCACCTCTTGCAAATGCTAATGCTTGCCTGCTTTACGTAGCCTTGATAAAGCACCATGCTTGGTTAACTTGGTCAAGATGTACGCCATTGCAACCTTTGCACCCAAGTCAGAATGACCCCCAGACAGGCAGACTGCACCCCCTAGTAGGATCAAACCATTTTTTATCAATTTATTTGCAGGTTTTCTGGAGATATTACTGGTATAGCAATCCGAAGCCACTTGGCAGCAAATGGTACTTGCTGCAGAGGACGTGTCATCAACACCTTCCATTCCAGGAGGGAACTACGTGAAAAAATGGATAACATTAGACAAGAAACAGTGCTCTTTCAAAAAGCTCACAACAGTTGCTACTCGTAAGAAAAAAGCTGATTAATATACCAGCCGCATAACAGACAGGCCCGACTTAAAAATCTACCATAGATAAACAACATAGAATGCAAGCACAAAGCAAACAATTGACACTAAGGTCAATTGTCAATTACCAGCGGCTTTGAGCTACGGAAATCATTACTACTGCATGTTGGCAATTTGAGCAAGTCAAATTTGTGGACACCAGTCTACCACTACCTCAGCAAAATTTGTGGTTTCTAGGAACTACAAACAAAAAATGAGAAGGCGACTAAACTTTTCAGCCTAACCACCTCAACAAGAGAAAGGCTTTTGATTCTGAAAAGAAGCTTAAGAAAAACATTTACATCATCTACAACACGGATGATATGTACAAGTGGTTGTTGATGTCACACAACACGGGGAGTAATGCAAGTTTGAGCTTAGAACATGAGGTTACATCTGGTACCTCTAATGGGCTACATAGCATTGTCGGACGCCTGAAAACGCCATGAAAACAACTTGTGACAAGAAGAAATTATTCCTAACCTTCTGAGTTAGCATTGTTGCACTCAAAGATGAATTCAGCTGAGGAGAATATATATGAAGCGCATCACTCATCCTGCATACATAACTCCATATGCTCTTTGCAAATACCAGCTTTGCCATTTCCACATTCAGGCCAGCGTCTTCTTGATGCACCATTTTGATTTCGCATGCATTTCTACCAGCTACTGAAGAAAGATATTTCAGGGAAGCAAGAAATCAAATAAGATCATTCGCTCACTTTGTGCAAAAATCAACTTACAGAGAAATGAAGGGAAATCCAACTAGTATTATTAACTGTGGCAGTACAGTAAATTGTATCAAGTTCACATACTACTACATGAAAAGGGGAATGCAAAAGAACAGCAAACATGTGTGACAGATCAGAATGGCTTGGATATGCACCATTACATTCCATTTAAGGCAACTACCTAAGATGTCAGGAAAAGAACACAAAAAGAAAATGCACTTTGTGCACAGTGATAATCTAAATGACCGACCTCAATTTCCTGTCCCAATATGTAGGAATTTATTTTTGCTCTGTGGGGAAGGAGGAAGGTAATTTATTTAGTAACTTAACATACTTGACTATGGAATTGAGTTCTTCAGAATTCCCCTTCACTGAAAGCATGCTTCTGCAACATATTTTCAGTTACAGCACTTGCCTTGGTACTTCTAAGACATCAGATGGTAAAATATAGGACCTCTAAGAAAATAGGTAGCACTTTCATTGTGCATCTGAGCCAAAAAGTAATAGGTGATCTGCACCTGAGTACTAAACTGCACAAGTAAATAAACCCTTTTTTCCCATCCTTCTAAGGAAACAAGAAAAAAAAAAAGATCTCTGAAATTGCAGCTAATGGCACAGAACCATTGCAGCTTTCCCTGATTCAATATGCTTCCTATGATATATCTCAATTATCTGCTGAAAAATAAAATGACGTCGGAAAATAAGTCAAAAATACGTGCCTTTTCTGATTCGCCAACCAGACCTAAGGAACATAACCCTTACATATTTCTTCTGTCTTGGGGCAAGAGCATGTTCACATCCCTGATAAATGTATTGTGCAAAATCTGTTAGCCATAAAGAACTATGCCCTTATCATGGAAACATGAGAACTATGACAAGCAACCACAAATAATAGATTGTCAATAAATAATTCAAAAGCATAAAAGAAACTTGCTTCTGGATTTACTTCAAATGCTACTAAGCAAGGGAATCCGTGTTGTCTGAGAAATATTGTGGACATCCCGTGCACCACTTCATTGCTGATAATGTAGTGCAGCAATACAATTACTCATAAGTTAGTACTAAAGAGAGAGAAAGAGAGAGAGAGAGACCCTCAAACATGTATCCACCAATATCTCCACCTCCTTCAGGCTCTCTTCAGTCTGCTTTCCAATCCGTGCCCCTCAACCCATCTGCCACTCTATGCCTTCTGTCCTCCTTCCAACTTGAAACTATTGCTTAATCATATTGCCATCCCAAAAGATACTGAGTTTCAAGAATGGTCTTACCTTACAAGGGAATTGACATATTAGTCCTGTTTGGATTGTAACTTTTCTGTAATAATTTTTAAAAATTTTTCTAGCAAGGGATGAGTGGGACTTAAGAAGTGGGTAGATAGAGGCATTTGAATCTAGGACCTTTAATTTCTGAGGTCCCAACCTTAGCCACTAGACAAACACCTCCTCGACAAGTGAGATAAAGAGATGATTAAGAAATGTATCAAGAAATTATTCTAAAATTTTTTTTTACAAAAATTCACAATCCAAACAGGCCTATTATGTAAAATAACTAAAATATGTCCTTAAAACATGCTGTTTTTGTTGAAACCGATTTAAGGAGAAAATACCTCATGCAACTCCAACTGGAAATAGTAGTAAAACATGCCACTGGCTCCTTTTGAAAATACACAGAAATAGGCATAGGTATTTGCTACCTTCCTAAATTGGTTGAGATCAGCCAAGGACCCGAAGTTTCAACAGCAACAATTTGCATAAACTTTGAAAATCGCATTACCAACTGTTAAAACAGCGGAACAACTGGAAAAGGGCGGGGAGGGAGCAGAAAGGATGTCAAAAGGGAGAAAACTGGTGGTGGCAGGAGACATTTACGTGCTGATTTCGCAATCAGCAATTTGGTCGCAGAAACATGCCATCAAGATCAAAGTGGTGCAGCAGATGTCTACCAGACACTCTCAAAGTAAACGATAAATAAAAGAACATCTAAGAAGCAGCATCACTCGGAATGCACTATATAAGGATTAGATGAGCTACAACAACTTTGGATACCTTACTAAGACAGTAGAAGGCCCCATATTTATCTTCCCAAACTCTCCAAGCTGATACATATTCTCTTGGGGTCAAGAAGGGGAATTTTTTTATCGTGCGACCAATTTCAGTTCCATTACTTTCATCCACCTGCAGCTGCTCATGCTCCATTAAGGTCTTGTCCCAGGTTTTCCTATAGTTATTGTCCATATAAAAATTTCTCAGCAACTCAGAAGAGCAATTCTCAAACACTGTAATACTCAAATATTTCAAAGGCCCATCCTGCAATAGAAAAGGATATCATCAAGTATATTTATTCAATACTAAATTGACAGCAAAAAAGGATACTAAATCTAAGAGATAGAAGAGAAATAATGGTCTAGCAAGCTGCAAAATTTTATCTTCCCTTAAAAGAAGCATGTCATCAGGCCAAGTCCTAATATAAGATGAGCCAGCTCAAGCGGACTCAGCAACAGTGCAGTAATCAAGTAACATACACAATGTAGCACCAAAAAAGTAGACTATGAAGTGATCAACTATATTACCACCCTATCATAGTTAGCTGCAAGACAGTAACTATAGCCTGAGTTTTTTTTTTTTTTTTGGGGTCCCCCGTCTGAAGGGAAAAGACGGGCAAATATGTACAAAAGTTATTTCACGTCAAGCTGAGCACACATACAAAGTGGGAAAGGGAAGAAAATGGTGTATGTCCTTGCACAGCAAATGTTATCATTGAACTCAACTGGGCTAATAACAATATATAACGAAAAGAAATCAGCAAGCAGTTGCTACAGTGTACAAAATAATAAGCAAAGAACATGTTTTTTCCAGTAGGATACGAACAGAATTTAGTTTTAAGCAGGAAGTCCCTCGGAACCAAAAAGGCAGAGGGGTTAAGATAGAAAGCTCTAGGCTTAAAAAATGGGGCCTAGTTCAAGTATGACAGAAGAAAAAATATGAGGGGGGAAAGGGCAAAGAAAATA